TTCTGTCGTGCAAGGTGGTTTGTCACAGGAACTTTGATTTGTCAAGTTTTGTAAACTCAACTTATTACAAAGTTTTTTAAAACACAAAGTGAAAAAAACCTTCACTGGTACAGTTTAAAGGTTGAAACTGTACCAGTGAAGGTTTTTTTAATATAAAAACAGGAAATGGAGATTCAGCCCTGCTAATGAAAATATAAAAGCATTTTGAATTTAAGTACACTAAAGCTGTGTCCAAATTCAGGGGCTGCATCTTCCGAAGGATGTAGCCTGAGAAGCAGGTTCCCCAGAGGACTTCTGAACCTGCTCTCCCAATAAGATGATAAAGCATCCAGATTTCCAAACTACCCAACTATAGTGTGCCTCATTGACTTAAATAAATACAAGGTATATTTACAAGCAGTTTTCCTCAAAGTGTTGTGTCCTCACTTGCTACCAAAATTCGGTGTTACTTTACATTACATACAAGCTTTTTTCAACCACAATTATTCTTTTAAAAAAACATAATTATGATTGACTTTAATTTGCCCACAGTGAATCCAGACCTACCCACATGGGCACTTTTTCTGGGACCTGGCTGTCTGATGTTTAAAGGTTTGTGGAGGAAAACCTGTTCAGATCATCCCAACTCTGATGACCAGGTGCAGCACGACAATTATGTATCATATCATATTATGTATTATGTCATACAGCCGAATTAAATAATTAGATATATTATCCAAATTGTAGGGTGAGGAACATCAGCCCAAATACTTTAAACCCCATTAAAATGTAATGTTATCCAGCACATATTAGAGTAACATTTTTGTCAACAAAGCCGAAAAGTCCTTTGAATTCTTGATTGATGGTTGGAGAGCAGGCCAAGATGCAGTAATTACATTAAAATCTAATGTTGAACCCTTGCCAAGCCAAAGAATCCTAATTTATACAATTCATTTTATTTCACAGTCAAGAAAACCATGTATCTTGTCAATAAGCACCTTTTGATTGCTCTGAGAATCGAAACTGCTGGATTGCGTTCGGCTGTGACATGCAAGATCTTTATTTAACCTAAAGATTGTATTATCTCCAATATAAAACTAGTAAGTGTAGCTGGAAGTAAATAATGATTATGCTGTAGTCTTGCTAATTACTGTGAGCCGCTTGTTTTGAAGGAGGTGAGATCACCTCCCATTAAAACTGAAAATTAATTAATTTCCAACAGAACACCTGGTGAGCTCTTGTTTCATAGCCTCAGGCCCAGATGTCATCAGTCTTCTTGGAAACACTTGCTTGTTGTTACTTGCCCAGCTGGCCCCTTGTTACTCTTCAATCCCCTGAGTAAAAGGTAAATTGGCAGGTTTAGGATGATGCCATGACACCACCTCCAAAATATACACAATAACAAGCTTAAGTGTTTCCCAGATGTGTTATGACTCACCGCTTTACCGGTTCACATCACACACGCACACTCCATATGGGGCCCGTCCCAAACATTTAATCAGGATGTTTTTGTTTTGTAGCTATTCCGATAAAACATGTATGATACAAGTAGGCCTTTAAACCAGTTCTTTTCTGGCGGATATCTATTTAATCCTGCTTTTTTACAAATTTGTTTTAATATCTCTACTTAAAACTTAATTAATAATAGCCTCAAGCTAACCTGTATTAGGTTAAATGATGTAGGCGCAAAAGATTTGACAGTGACAATAAGAGCTCAATTCTGCATTTTGTAAAAGTCCTTATCTCAAATGTAAAACATATCTGTGACAGTTATGAAACAAGGGAATTGGAGATTCTCGTTACAATAACTAAACCACAGTTTCTTGAGAGAACGGCCTTCATGTCCTGACAAACTTTAGTAAACCTCCAAGCAGTTCCATGAACCTTGAATGGTGCAGCTTCATAATTCATTATGACAGTAGGTCATCCTTTAATGTCTGTTTTTACTATCAACATATTTATTAATTCGCCATGCTCAAAACTAAGTTTCTCTTCTAGGCTTTACTACCTGGGTATGCGGCTGACTGATTATGTGCAATAGTGTTTCTCACTCGACCAGTTCCCACTCAACCATAGACTTTATATTGTGATGACATCATATATTTTTGAATTGCTTTTCTCGGCTCGAGGACAGTTTTGCAAATATAAGACCTTGTGTGCAGTTCGAGGTGTCCTGTCAAAACTTTTACAGAAGTTTCTTCTACATTGAGGATCTATGGGGAAAATACTTTTTGGGCTGCAGTTTTTTTTAAAATTTGCAACACTGTGAGAGGCCACTGGGCAAAATTGGAAGCTTCGCTGAGCATTGGCGGCACATTGCAACACATGGAAGTCCAAAAATGCAGGCTAACTTTACTGTCAAGTGACACGGTCAGTGACTATATGAACAGTAGACTGTAGGAGGCTGTGGCTCAAAGTTAAAGCGGGTTGTCCTTCAATCACACAATTTAAATCTGCGATTCGATTCCCAGCTCCTCCAAACCATGTCGATGTGTCCTTGGGCAAGACACTTAAATTGCTGCTGTAGGCTGTGCCTAAGGTGTGTGAATGTTGTGTGAAAGTTAGTTAGTTCTGATGGAAAGGTGGCACCTTGCATGGTAGCCCCTGCCATTAGCACTCTGAGTGGTCGGAAGACTAGAAAAGCACTATACAAGTACAAGTCCACTCCATTTAACAAATCTCTATATTTGAAACAGACAATCACGGTTAAAGTTACATCTTCTCTCCACATACGTACAATTTCTGAGCCTCCGGGGGCTTTGCATCAACTACTTCACTCAGAGGAGCTGTCAATCCTAGCAGTGAATGATGTCAGATTCCCTTTTTTGTAGCATCAAAAAACGAATCAAAACCAAACTTTTCAGAAAGAACACAAATCAGCGTGATAAGAACTATGACAGAAACCAATTTTGGTATAATAAAAAGTATCATTTTTTTTGTTGGGCCTTTGCCCCATCTATCAAGAAGAGGGAGTAAAATGTTTTTCGACCACAGGTGTGCAGTAGTGGGTTCTTTACAGGCCGCCACAACAGTCACAGAAGCCCTTCTTTTTTTCATCTTCCCTCCTGCTTCTTGTCGGTCTGTCTGTCTTCATTTCCTTCCAATCATTGTCTATGATAAATGGACTTACACATATATAGCACATTTCTAGTCTTCGGAACACTAAAGCACTGTACCCTACATGTCAACAGGCCAGCATTCACCCATTCACACATTCATATTCATGGACAGTCAGGTTTAGATCAGGGGCATTTTGGGGTTTAGTGTCTTGTTCAAGGACACATCAGCATGAGGACTGGTGAAGCCAGAGAATGAACTGACAATGTTACGATTAGAAGACAACCCACTCTACCTCTGAGCCACAGCCCTCCCTGCATATAGCTAATTAACCTGTGCTTTAACTCAACATAGGCATCATATTTCTCTAGTTGACTTGCTGCAAACTGTTTGTATCTTTCTGTTGTTTTCAACGCTATGACAATATGATTGTGTTTCTGCCTTTTTTGGTTTGTGTATTCCTGTCTTTTGCAAGACTGCATTATTCAACATCTTACCAGAATACAGTGAAACATTCAATACTCAGGGGTTTTAATTATCTTGAATCTCCCTGTGAGGACAACTGATACAATTACAATGCCCTTTGTTCACTTCTAATCAGCTTGTTTTCAGAAACAATAAGGCTGATCCCTTTCCCTTGAGAGCATAATACCCAAGTCTAAAATCTTACTTACAAGAAAAGGAAACTGTATCATAATACCGAACGCTCTGTCTTAGGGCACCTCTGTCCTTCCTCTGAGCTTCACACAGGGACATATTCAATTAATAAGGAAACCTACAGTACAGTATATGACCTGAGGCAGCATAACATACAGCATGTAAAATTGTCTTTGCTACACACTGAGTGGTGCTCTGTTTTGTAGCCTGCAGGGTATGTCCTCCTAATGATATGCACAACAAATTAATGCCTCATTGATTTCACCATACCTGTTTAGCCCTAAGGAAGGATATTTGTTACGGAAGAATAAGTAAAAGTAGAAAAAAAGGACAGAATGTTTGTAAAAACTGATGCACCGTAGGTATGTACTGTGGGTAACACTAGTAAGCCCCCATTAAATGAATATTCAAAACAATACAATAATGCATTTTATTACATACCTCTTTCTTTCTATCAGAATGAACAATTCTTATTAGGTTTTGATACTACTTTGAGGTTTTCCTCTCACTCAGTTCGCTGTGTATCAAGTATGTTTCTGTGTCTTATGTGTTTGAAAGGCATGCAACTTAGATCAGCAGTCCCTTGTGACACGGGCCTGCCGCCTGCCTTTTCACATCATTGAAGGATGAGTAAGGCCTAGTCAGGCATGCCATCGTGACATGACACCGCTCATCTTCGGTCCTTTCTCCATTATGGTCAAGTGCTCATTCCAGTTCCTTGCTGTTGTTGTTGTTAACTTACAAACTGGGGGCTCTTTTTCCAGTGACCCGAGGCCCAGGGGAAATTAGGTCAATTTGACAGTTGTGATATGAGGCAGGTAGCATATATAGGCTACAGGGCAGCATCTCCCACTTAAAACTTAAGATTGGATTGCTTATCTGTGGAGTGAAGATGTAGCACTGGAGGTGTTTGATGAACGCAACCTTTAATATACAGGCTTAGGTTGAGTTAAAAAAAAAAAAAGAAAAGATTTCTCTGTTTGACTTAACGAGACATTTTAGATTTCCACATTTCTGTAGATAATTTGTTCATCTGAAAGGGGTCATAATGTATCATTTTCTGTACACTAGCACAGACCAATGTTTACTGACCAATGACAAATTGTTTGAGGCTTTGTCAGCTTACTAAGTGCTTGTTTGGTTCAGTATTCACTGTTTGTGTTATCTAAATGTATTAGTTGAACTGATATATACAGTATATATTGGCTATCAAGGGTGTATGGTGATAGCTTAAAGAAAGGATGACATTTATTTGGATGAAGTCACTAGAGTCCAATCTGTCAAGAAGGACAGAGTGTGTGCTTTTGAGTCTCCTATGTTGTGTGCTTTTTCCCTTCAACTCCAACCAAGACCAGAGCCAACAATGCAAACTTATCCCAGGGTCTATGGCCCTGCCTGTACTGGAGAAAAAGGGGGACATCATCTTGGGGGGACTCTTCTCCCTTCATGACTTGGTGGAGGAGCCCACTCTGCCCTTCACCTCTTCGCCTCCTCCTGATCAGTGCACCAGGTGAGCTGTTTTTCAGCTAGTCTTGCTGTAGCTGCAAATTTTCTTTTCATTTTTCTACTTCCATAGTTCTGTGTGGCAATGTTTTTTTATGTTGAGAGAAATAAAGTATTTGTTACTGGGCTGCACACTCATAATTGCGTTGAAAACTAAGATTGCGTTGTCTCTGTTCTTCCAGATTTAACTTCCGGACTTTCCGTTGGATGCAAACTATGATCTTTGCCATAGAGGAGATCAACAGAGATGGCAAACTCCTTCCCAACACCACACTAGGCTATAGGATCTATGATTCATGCAGTACACCCCATCAGGCACTGAAGGCTGCCATGGAGTTAGTGGGGAGTGAGAAGAGTTCAGGGGTTGAAGGAGAGACACAGAGTAAAGGCACCTGTCGTGGGACGGTACCAGCGGTGATAGGAGACGGAGGCTCTACTCAGTCTCTCGTCGTGGCCCGTTTCCTGGGAGTCTTCCATGTGCCACAGGTAAGAGAGGCATAGCTACTCAACAAATGTGTTTTGCCTTTTTCTTGTTACCACTACTGGGGAGGGTCAACAGTCTCAAATTCATAGGGGCTTTAACATTTGGGTACAATGAGTTAAGTCCGACCAACTGATTGAATAAAGTTTTAATGTTGGACATTGTAAAATGTTTTTGTCTGTTCAGGTTAGTTATTTCTCCAGTTGTTCCTGTCTAAGTGACAAAAAGGAGTTTCCTGCTTTTTTAAGGACTATGCCCAGTGACTTCTTTCAGGTTAGAGGCAGCAGCCACTCACAATGTAACCTCTATACACAAACAAAGTAAGTCCACATTGTCATCTCTGGAATTTATTTAAATCTCTTCTCTCTCTCTCTCTCTCTCTCTCTCTCTCTCTCTCTCTCTCTCTCTGTCTCGTTGTATCTCTTCCTTTTCCTCTTTCCATCACTAGGTAGATGCATTAGTACAACTTGTCATGCATTTTGGCTGGACCTGGGTGGGTGTGATAGCAGGGGATGATGCTTATGGCCTTGGTGGGGCAAACATATTTGCCAATGAGGTGAGTCACACACACAGAAATGGAGAATTTAACAAAAATAAATAGCCATTAAGTCATTTTCATTGTATAACTTATTCAACATATTGTGAACTTAAAATAAAGTTGCCATGCATCCCTCCTGTTGCTCATAGGTTAGAAAATTGGGTGCTTGTGTTGCCCTTCATGAGGTCATCCCTAAGAACCGAGCACAGACCACACTTTCGTCAATAGTTTCCAAGATCCGCTCCTCTGGGGCTCGAGTGATTCTAGTGTTTGCTGTGGAACAAGATGCAGTCGCATTATTTGACGAAGCTCTCAGGCATGATTTGTTCAGAATCTTCTACATCACAATCGGATTTGAAATATGATACAAATTCACTATCAACTTTTTGTTCAGTTGACTTTTTACAAATACGGGTTTATTGAGTTTGAATTTCTATGTTTATCATTGCAAAAAATGACATCTCCATATCACTTTAATGTAGAGAGGAGCTCACTGGGATACAGTGGCTGGCCAGTGAGGCTTGGAGCACAGCTGCCGTCCTCTCCACCCCCAAAAAGCACCACCGCATTCTCCAGGGTGCTTTGGGATTTGCCATTCGGCGAGCACGCATCCCTAGATTGCAAGACTTTCTGCTTCGCCTGCATCCCTCGAGCCCACATGCCCTTGCAGATCCCTTCCTGATACCCTTCTGGGAAGAGATGTTTCAGTGCAGCCTAGGTGTGCAGGCTGAAGGTCAGGAACATAATGTTGAGGGTAAACCTCCATGCTCCGGAGCAGAAGACCTGGGGAGTGTGACGAATATCTATTCAGATGTGTCACAACTAAGGATTTCCTACAATGTCTATAAAGCTGTGTATGCCATTGTTCATGCACTTAAGGCAATGAGAAGCTGTGTGAAAGGAAACGGGCCATTTCCTCAGCAGGCCTGTCCAGATGCAGACAATATACAGCCATGGCAGGTACAGTCCCACATGTTCCCTAATTCACTCCAGATAATATATATATATATATTGTTAAACAAAGTTATATGCACTTTATTCCCATAGTTACTTCATTACATAAAACTTGTGGAATACTTGAACTCCTTTGGCGATGACATCAAGTTTGATGAGAATGGTGACCCTGCAGCCATGTATGACCTGGTGAACTGGCAGCTGAGACCAGATGGAGAAATGGAGTTTGTCACTATTGGCAAATTTGATGAGACGACCACAGGTGGAAAGCAAAAACTCCAGATCCAGGAGCATATAATTGTATGGAATGGCAACCAAAGCAAAGTAAGTATCTCAATAGAATAAAATAATATTATTTTTGTTATTATTTTGTGCAACAATATTTTTTTATGAGTTGACTGTGTTGTGATCAGTGTAGTGTATGTTCCCACGTTTGCCTAGATTCCCCTGTCAGTATGCAGCATTTGTCCCCCAGGTACCCGGAAGGCAATCAGACCAAACTTCCCTATCTGCTGTCTTGATTGTGTGATTTGCACAGCTGGCGAGATTAGCAATCAAACTGGTAAGGAAAGGCTACTTGTTTACATTGTGTTGGAGAATTTAACCTGCAGTTGCAGTCATAAAAAAATGTAAAGTGGTAAAGCCACAATATAACAGCTAAAGTCTTCTTTTCTTTCCTCTAGATGCCATAGAGTGTGTGCGCTGCCTGCCAGAGTTCTGGTCCAATACTGAGAGGACAGCCTGTATCCCCAAACAGGTGGAGTTCCTCTCCTATAGCAGCACCATTGGCATCACCGTGGTGGCTATTTCCCTCATTGGCTCCTTCTGCACGAGTGTTGTGGCCTTCATATTCTCTTGTCACAGAGCCACCCCCATTGTCAAGGCCAACAACTCTGAGCTGAGCTTCCTGCTGCTCTTCTCCTTGACTCTGTGTTTCCTGTGTTCTCTGACCTTCATAGGCCGGCCCACTGAGTGGTCCTGCATGCTGCGACACACAGCATTTGGGATTACCTTTGTCCTCTGTATCTCTTGTCTTCTGGGGAAAACTATAGTGGTGCTAATGGCCTTCAAGGCTACACTGCCAGGCAGGAATGTAATTAAATGGTTTGGGCCTGCCCAGCAAAAGGCAATCATTACCTTATGTACACTGGTCCAGGTAAGGATTTCCGACTCATTATGCACCTTGATTTGGGCATTTTCTCAAATTTCTGAATAAGACACTTTTTTTATGCAGGTAATAATCTGCACAGTTTGGCTGGTTGTTGCTCCCCCCACTCCACGCCAGCTAATGCAACGTAAGAGCAATCTTGTCATTATCTTGTGTGAAGAAGGTTCACCTGTAGCATTCGCTCTTGTCCTGGGTTACATTGGCCTGCTGGCCTGCCTCTGCCTTGTCTTGGCCTTCCTAGCAAGGAAACTACCGGACAACTTCAACGAGGCCAGACTCATCACCTTCAGCATGCTCATTTTTTGTGCAGTGTGGATAGCCTTTGTTCCTGCTTACATCAGCTCTCCCGGGAAGTACTCCACGGCCACGGAGGTGTTTGCTATCTTGGCCTCCAGTTATGGACTGTTGGGTTGCATCTTTGCACCAAAGTGCTACATAATCCTTCTAAGGCCAGAAAAGAACACATGGAAACGCCTGATGTCGAAAGCTGCCACTAACAAATGTTAGGAGATCATCCTTATTCCATGCACATGTCATGTATTTCTTTTACTATCTTTTTCTCTGATGAATAAAATATATGTATATGAAGACAAAGTTTATAAGCATCTAGTCCTTGAATATGAACAGTTACCTTCTACCACTAGATGGTAGTAGTGTGTTGTTAATGCCGCCTTCTGTTATTCTTCGTGGCCCACTTTTATCCTTGCCAATAACTTTCACCACCGTACATTTTCCTGTGTATCATTGTTGCTCCTATTATGTAAATTCTTACCCCTAGTTACAGATCTTCCTTAACTTTATGAATTAATTTGGTCAGTGATGTAGAAATAAAAACAGACGGTATAATCATTGAAACAATATAAAAAACATATAAAAGTGAATAATGAGGTGATGTTATAATATGAAAGCCCCTCTAGTATTTAACACCCCACAATTCAAGACTGCCAACAGTTTAGAAATGGTTTTATTTTTCCAACTACACAACACTTCTTTTACGTTCTCCATAGAAATGTGAAGGATAGCTTATTGCTAGATCTGAATGGGATTTGGCCAGAGATAGAATGATGAGGCCCAGGGTCTCCAAGGTATGCTCTGTGGAAATCCCAGGCATCAATGGTTAATCTAAACCCTCATACTCTGGAGGCCTTTACATATATAAACATCACGCTTGGCTCTTCCCTACAATAACAAACTAAAACGTCAGACATTTTTCCAGCTCTCCACAGCTGCTCTCAGGCTAACATTGATTATCCACCACTAATTGATCTGTTCCTCCCAAGACAGACGAATTGGAAGATGAAGAGATGCACTATCTCTGATGTCTGCTGGAGTCAAAGAGGTGTTTGTAGGGGGAGATGGACAGCCGTATTTTATTCACACTGTATTAATTGATTTTCATGTATTTTCAGTTATTATTCTTCTTACCCTTTGCATTTTGTTCTCTATAATGCATCATACATTTCAATATCAGACAGTGGTCCTTCTTTGTTACGGATGACTACAGCGTGTGGCTGCTGGTATTGTGTTTCCTTATGAGTCTCTTTGGGTGTCGTCATGGCAAAATGTGGTCCTGGAGATACTTACTATATTGTGGTGACTACCACAAAAGTGGTTTTGAATGCTTTGCTAGGTGTTTATGTCTGTCCGTGGACAGATTTTGTCAACACGAAAGGGTCATAACTGTGTAGGATGCAGTCCAGTATGTAGTTGGGATCAAAATGAAGGCTGAGTTAGAAGATCAAGCAAGGGCTCTGGACGTAGGGGGGTTGAAAGTTGGAAAGGGACCATTGCTCCACCCACTACAGCCCCTGGCCTGATTTGACATCGCATCCCATCACAAGATATCTCTTGTTTCATTTCAAAGAGTGATCCTTCAGATAGTAGCACGCTTGATTTAATTAGGGAAATCAGAATAGACCATCACTATTTGAGGGTGAGATCATTTGAATGAAAAAAAAAAAACTTGTGGTAATGTCTTCAATAAAATGAATGGGACATCAAATTACAGGCACACAGATGTAAAATGGAAGTGTCCATGGCTGTAAAAAAATATTAAAAGAGTGAGTGAGTGTAGAGAATAAGTCCAGAATTCATTGAAATCCATTCTCGAAAAACTGAGAAACATAACTCCAAACATAACGACATATATTGCTGACAGTGTAGATGTAAATACAGGAAGGAAACTGAAAGATGTAAAAAGGACATGACTACAGTGTTTACATGCAGCTATTTGCTCAATCTTGTCATCAGTGAGTTATTGTAATGGAACCGAATGCTGACCAGATGTTTGGACACATGGGGGTTTAACTCATCAAAGACAGGGATTAGAGAAGTTATACAAAATATTGTGTTATGAGTATGAAGTTATGATGTCTTAGGGTGGAGCAAAGTGTTAGTAATGACGGAGCTAGAGACAAAGGGATGGATAAAATAGCAAACACCTTAAATATTATTTTGGTGGAGCATCTGATGTTTGCTTTGTTTTGAAAAAGTCGAAAGTGTAATTTGTGTCTGCCTAATTTGCCTGTTTTGAGGAAGGAATTTGTAAAGTTGTTGAGCAAATGTTCTGTCAAGTGCCTTTCAGTTAGAGCTATTGAGCCTCCTCTTGACTTGTACTTGACAACTACACTGCTTGAGACTTATCCTCCCACCTAATTTTGAAGTGTTTGCAACTAACACCAGCAATTCAGGAGGCTCATCACAAAGCAGCAATTAACATTACGTGTCAGTTTCAGTCTGACGAGCACCACTTTTGTGAGTTTTCAAGGTAACTGGCAAAGGTACAGAGATGTCGTATATCTTGCCTGGATATTCATAACTAAACCCACACCAACATTATGCAAAATACAAATAACTGGATGTTGTTTTAAATGTACTTCATTTTTATGTAACACCTTTCTAAGTCCTCGGACAAAGAGTTTTTAAATGTGCCTCTCATTCACCCATCGACACACATATTCATACACAGATGGTGGAGATAAGTGTACATATCAGTGACTTTGCATAATCATTATATAAGGGTACAGAGTAGAGTGATTGAATCATGTCTCGCACAGATGCACCATGACCTGAAATGTCTTTCATGATGAAGGCGTCTCTTTCATCATAATCCTGGCTTTCTGTCATTTTTCCTTCTTGAAACCCACTCTTTTCAGGTAGCTTTTTCTCCAACTTCATTTCACCTATTATGTAGTGAAAGGCGGTATCACAGAGGAGATGGACACCATAGAAACTGCAGCCGAAACTAATGGTCTCTCCCACAATAGCACCATTTACTGGGGCCCATGTGGCAGTTTACATTATATAGGGCAGCAAATAATGTGAAGGTCTCAAAGTCCCCCTGAAATTGAAGTAATGGTGGTGATGATGGCTTTTTTTTAATATAGTATGAGTCACTATGATTATCTAATTAGGCGCCAGATCCATGTCCAGATTATCCAAAATGAGAGGACAGATAAGAAATGTGTTGCATTGCTGTCTCTCAAATGCATTGGAGAGACAGCAATGCAGAGTATTTTCACACTGAATAATATCTGTGAGAGCAAACAATTATCACAGTGTGCAACACACTGATGAGTGAATGTTCATGATGGACCATCAGGGTGGTACCACACCAACTGGTGATAATAGTATAGCAGCTGATGAAATATCATTTCTATTTAGGCAGAAATACATATGCAGATATTTTGCTGCGGTATATTCAGTAGCGTTCAATAGCTTAGATTAAACTATGTACACTGTAGATAACATGAGCACAGAAGAAAAGTGACAAAATACAAATAGCATTGAATATTATTCATGTCAAGAATATGTATTTATTCATTGCTTCTTTCTTTCTTGTGATGCTGTTGTTGTCGCATGTGTCATGATGGACACCTTACAGTTTTCAAAAGTTAATACTTCTATGAAATACTGTTTTTATTTTCATTTGAAGTCTTTTATGCCGTCATCTACTGACCATGAGTCCTCGGTATTTCCCTCTAAAAACCATCAGGTGTTTTTTAGTGTTTCTCTCAGGCCTCAGAAGAGAAATATAACACTTTGAGTCAAAGATATAGAATAGAAGGCCATAATGTGAGTCCAGGATGGCAAAAATCTCCACTACAACAATTTACTTCCCAGGAGAGCTTAACAGAGAGGCTACAGAAGATCAGCATGCTGCAGGTGATTTGTTTGGCTTCATTAAAGTCATCAGTGAATTTCTTTGCTAGGAAGGTCAGGGGGAGGCTGAAACATGCCAGCCCAGAAATATGGAGCCCATGGCACATTCAAGAATGACCTTGGGTCCCCAGTGGTCCAATATGTTCTTTTCTGCAGGCTGAGGAAGAGCCAGGGTCAGGCACAGCCCTGAGATTAGCACCTGGGGAAAAAAGCTCTGGTCAGGAGATGGTGAGGGAGATTTGTTTCGAATACAAAGAAAATGAAAACTGAAGTAGATATTGTATTAGGAAATAGAAATCAGTAACCTGAAGTACTTTGAACAATACTTCGAATCTCTATTTGTATAATTGACCCTTTCCTTATATGGAGGGGTGTGTGAACAATAAAACCTAATTTTTGAAGGGAGATACTTTTGAGAGATATTGAAGCAAGGGGATACTAGGATAAGCACCGCATGATGTTGGATATCATTTCTTTTTTTCAATTCTGATGTTAATGTATCAGGAGACTGCAATATCATTACACAATTATTCTCTCAGCATGATGAAACTACAATGTAATTCTCTCCAAAATGTATTATGGCATCATCTGACGGTGCTACACTTCACCAAAGGTGTGCCACTAGTAAAGGAACGTGGCAAATATTGCAGCTGTCAGGGCTGCCCCAACAGTTTAGACAATGGAGAGAATGATTCCCATGGTGCTATTGTAAGAAGGGAAATCCACCTGCTGAGGAATCAGACTGTTTGGTTTTAACCTGTTATGCACGAGGTCCACAAAAAAGTTTGCCAAATGAGCTTTCTGTCAAGTGTGGTGCTCTCTGCTAGGCAAGCATCAGCTGCCAGATAGCCAAGGGTGAAGTTGGGCAGGAGGTCTGGGTTATTGTTAATTTCCTCCGCTGAGAAGATCATGGCCTGAAGCCAGCGATAAGCTCCCTGGTCAAACTGTAGCAGGTGAGTCACAGGAAAATAATAGCAAGAAAGATCTGAAACCAAGGCATACGAGTGTATAGACATAGTTCAGCTAAACAAGAAAAGAAAATGCGTAATCCTTCTAAATCTTACATTTCAGCTGCATTAACCTTCTCACTCCAAAAATCCAACTCACGCTGAGGTGCCTTCACATGAACAGGGAACAGAGCCCCAGTCACTATATATTTTGTTTGATAAGCGCCATGTGGAATAGATTTTACGATCAGTTTGCAGGGCTCCTCTCCATAAACCCCTGGATAATCCCAGGGAGGCAGCAGAGGAGCAGAGCACAGATACACATCACTTGGAAGATAGCAGCACAGCACGAGCTTTAGACACCTAGGTATCAAATATCTATGGTGCAGAAGATGTCAA